GAGAGAGAGAGAGAGTGAGAAATGAAAATTTCCTCTTGATCGCATTTATTAATTTTTTTGATAACTCGAACGTATTTTTTTTCCTATAGAAAAAAGAGACGTTGATGAATTTTTTTTGTTTTTTGTTATCATTCAAATTTGTTTTATCGGACTTCTGGTTTGGTAACGACCATACCTGAAACGATTTGAGATTACCTTTTTTTTCCATTTCTTTTTTAACAATTCATGTGAAAATACTAGACGTCGATAAAAAAAAAAAAAAAAAAATTGTTGAAAAATTTATTGAGTTAATTGACAGTTGGACCGAATACCGAATAAAAGAAAAAAATTGTAGAAATTACTATGGGACGATATTTGAAAAAAAAAAATCAAATGAATTTTTTTTCTTCCTTTTTTTTTTTTTTTTTTTTTTTTTTTTCGCCTTTTTTTCCCCCCGGGAATTTTTCCCCCGATTGACAAAAAAAAAAAAGGTTTTTAGGGGGGGGTAATTGGGAAACAAAAAAAAAAAAAAGAAAAAAAGAAAACCCAAATAATTGGGCTTAAAAAAAAAAAAGAAAACAGTGGAGGAGAAAAAAAATTTTCATTTTTTTTTCGCATTTTTTTTCTTTTTCTTTCTAATTATAATTAATGAGTTTGGTTGTTTGGTTGGTTGGTTGTGCCCTGTCGTAAGAAAAATTTCTTTTTTTTTATAAAAAATTTTCTTTCACCCCCCTCTCTCTCTACGCCCCCCCATCTGACTTTTTTTTTTTTTAATAAAAAATAGGTTAAAACGAATTTTATTTGCCCCCCCCGGAGATTTCGTCATAACCGATGGTGCAAAAATTAAACGTCAAAACGAAATTTGGGGGTGTTTAATATGTTAGCAAGATTAGGGCAAACACGCGGGTATGTTGAAACGTCGATGATAATAATAATAATAATAAATTTTTTTTGTTAAAACAATGAAAACAAAAAAAAAAAATCGAGGCGTGGCAATAAAAAAAAAAGAAAATTTAAATTTCATCTCGATAACGACAATCGGATGAAAATTATTTTAAAAAAAAAAAAAAGTTACACGTTTACCTTACTTTAAAAAAAAAAAAAAGTAATAATAATAATGATTTTGTTCGAGAAATTTCCATAGAAATGAAATAATAAATCACAACGTAACAAGTTTACAAGGATAATAAGTATAAAAAAAAAACGTCTGAATGTTAAAATCGTAAAAATTTATAAAAACCGCGAAAGAGAGAATAAAGAAAAAAAACCCGGTAGATAGAGAGAGAGACAGAGAGAAGAAGAGGTATGAAGAAATAGAATATGTGGAGAAGAGAGAGAGAGAGAACAAAACTGGTAAAAAAAAAAGGAGGAGTATTAACGCTTTTTATTTTTTTATAAGGAACGTAAATTAATTTTTTTTTTACATTTTGAAAAATTCGTTAAAGGCGCGAAATGAAAAAAAAATTTTTTTTTAAAAGTTGTGACGTTGATTCGAACGTTTCCGGTATTTTTAAAATAATAATGATGATGATGATTTTTTAGGTTTTTCGGATTTTCGGGGGGAAAAAAAAACAAAAACATGGATCTCGAAATGTAAAATTCGTGTTACAAAAAAATTAAAAGGACCACCTCTTCCAATTCCCTCCCCACTCCCATCGCAAAATCCCCCCATTAATGAATGGCCCTCCTCCTCCTCCCTTAGACAGACCTCTTGACCGACCGCCCCCCCACCCATTTTTTAACCCCTTTAATTTTATACTTCCACTTCTCGTATTTTAAAATTTTTTTATTTTTTTTTAATGATTCATTTATTTATAACGCCGCGTCTACGAAAAAAAAAAGCAGACGACGTTTATATATGTACATTTTTATTTATTTATTAAAAACGAAGTCAATTAGAGTGAGAGAGATAGAGAGAAAAAGAGTAAGAGGGAAAGATAATTGCAACATAAATAAAAAGAAAAAAAAGAAAAAATTTCATAAAATGTAATTCAAAAAAGTTACTCGTAACAGGTTATTAAGAAATATTATTATTATTATTATTATCATTATTATTATTATTATTATTATTCATTTGGTCAAGTCTGACGAGATTTTTTTTTTTTTTTTTTTTTTTACCTAAAATTTAATAAATTTTAATTCCGATCTTTTTTTTTATTGGTTCAAAAGTTGACGGTTGGGAAAAAGAAAAAAAAAAAAAAGTTAAATAATTTTTTTTTTTTTTCTCCACTTTTTCCAAAAAATTATTTAATTTATTCCATAATTCGTGTTACCCAACAAACTTTTTTTTTTTTTTTTTCCAAATTTATGGAAAATGTTAATACATTTTACGCGAATTATTTATTATTCCGGGTAAAACGAATCGAAAAAAATTATTATTATTATTATTATCATTATTTTTTTCCTCCCTATGGTTTAGACATTTTGTAACTAAAAAAAAAGTTAAAAAAAAAAAAAAAAATTTTTTTACTCTTAGGTGGTGGTTTAAAAGGGGTAAAAATTAATTGATTTGAATTTTTTAATTTTTTTTTAACTTTTTTTTCTCCAGTTAAAAAAAAATTCCATTAAAATTTTGTAGGCGCGTTATTTATTTAAAAAAAAAGTTAATAAATAAATAAAGAAATAAATTCTTCCACGGATATTTTTTATTGATAACGATTATTATTAATAATAATAAAACTTATTTCCAGTAAATCAACGGTGGAAAAACTGGAAAAAAACTGGAAAAGAAAAAACCAATACGATATATATAATCACGTGATGTTTAAAAAAAAAAAAAAGAAAAGAAAACCGATCATTTCGTACGTAAGATTGTATCGTCATTTATATTTTATTGATAAAGAGAGAGAAAGACAGATTATTTTTATTTAAAAACGAAAATTAATAATTGTCGACTTTGATAAAAAAAAAAAAAAACCGGTCGTGTTTTCGTGGC